TCACTGAAATGCAACAATGTGGTCTCCAAATCTCATTTAGTGGGGAAATGTGGGTGAACCATGAGGGGGAAATTTGAGAAAGGGCACAGAGATGTGGACACACTGCTTAAAGGTGTTCCCTTTCTCATTATTTATCCCACTCAGAGCCCCAAATGCTGCCTACTGGCTCTAAGGATCGTGTCTACTCCAGCACCTCTGCAGATAGGGCAGTCTTTGACTGGGCATTCAGGAACCCAATCCCAGAGAACATCTGACATGGGCATGCCAGCTGTTAGCTTGGAGAAATGTTCAAAATACCTCTAAATCTGCTGAAGCCACCACAGCAGCACAAAAACTAATCAGTGAAGAAAAAATCTTTATATTGCACAAGGGAATTCACTTAAGCGTTAACAAAATTGTCAATGTGTTAATGTAATGTCAAATCTGAATGAATCATGCACTTTCTTTCGAGTCTCCATTCTCCAGTCATCTCCATTGTTGCCTTTTGAAAAGGGCATTATCCTTGAGGGGAATGGTATTTCCAGAATGGAAAATGAGCAAAGGATGTGCTTTTCTGAGAGTGGGAATTTTTTATTTGGGTGCAGGAGGCAGTTGATTCAACAAAGTTTTGGAATATGTCTTTCCAGACTCAGGATATTGGAACTATAAGCCAGTTTCTCAGGCAGTTAGTTAAGTGACTCCAAGCACCATGGTCACACCAGGCTCCTTCTAATCCTATTCCTCCTCTTCAGAGAATACAGTTATCTTCACCATCCTCTACCTGCACTTCCTTTCCTCCCTTCAGCTCTATATTCAGGGGAGAACAGATTGCTGTCATTCTGGAGATCTTTGCTGGTAATATTGAAGGGCACCACCAGAGCTGTCCAGGCAGCTAAATCGCATCTTCAACAATCAGTGCATCCTTGCACTCATGTGACTCTGATTGTATTTTTCTTTGCTTGCAGTAGAGCTGCTTATAGGGATCATCAACTGTGTCCTTAGTGGACAGCCATCATCTCCAACAAGCCGTTAACTAACTGTTTAAATGTGAAAAGACCTGTGAATATATTGCGCAAAAATGAATGGAAATCTTCCAATGGTCACATGTCATCTGAACATGGATGGACAGGAATGCATCTGATTGACAAAAGCTGTTAGTTGCTCTGAGAACACCTTAATTGCCAAATATCTGCAAATGTGTATTGACTATAGCTTCATTATCTGTAGTAATCTCGCTGCTGTAACTAAAAAGTGAAAGCCCCCTGGGTATGATTAGCCTCCATCCTGTTGTGGGTCACTTTGTGATGATGGGATGCAGGGGGATGCAGACCTACAAACCTGCAAATGACAGGAGGTTGTTCAACTTAAGGCCAATTACCGACGGTTGACTAGGAATTTCCAGTCAGCCATCAAGTCTCCACCATAGTATGGGACTGTTTACATGCCTGGAGGTGAAGCACCCTCTCCATATTTACTTTCTAATGCAATCTGCTGTGGCTTTCAAACTGGAAAGCCTCAGATTAGTCCTTTAACTTCCTTTAATTGGATGGCAAGTCTGCTCTCTGGGCATTTACTGGCAGCTTTGGGGTGGTGTCATAATGAGTGAACGTTTCGCACAAAATATAGGCTTTCGGTCCACATCAAAGCCTAGAGGCAGGATTCAGAAACTCTTGCCCAAAGTGCAAACAGGAAGAAGTCCAAAGAGGAAGTCAGTTCCAAATTACTTGCAAGCACTTCAGTTCGTAATGTGAAGCTACCAAGTACAAGTACCAAACTAAGATCTAAATTTTCTAAAATAATTTATTTCAATAGCAAATCAAAAAAACATTTCAAAAGATATCTATCAGGTGCTGATTGTGAGTACAGGTAAATAAACTGTAGTGCAGAGCTGTTGATTGCTAGCTTTGCTGTTGAAGACATTTCTATTGTTGCCAACGAACCTTTGAAGAAAATGTTTTTAATAGCCTCACCATAGATTAAATATTAGGACCACGTAGCACAGAAGAACAAAAATTCTGACAAGCACCTGATTAAAGCCAATATCTTGCTTGCACCTGATGGCATGTGCAGTGATACTGCAATACAAGTATGTGTGAAAATGTGATGCTACAACTGAAGCAAATAGCGTGCGGAAAATTTGCACTGAGTATAATTCTCAGAGAATCATAGAATCATAGAGCTGTACAACATGGAAAAGACCCCTCAGTCCAACTTGTTCATGCTGACCAGATATCCTAAATTAATCTCGTCCCATTTGCCAGCATTTGTCACATATCCCTCTAAATCCTTCCTATTCACATACCCATCCAGATGCCTTTTAAATGCTGTAATTGTACCAGCCTCCAACACTTCCTCTGGCAGCTCATTCCATACGTGCACCACCCTCTGCTGGAAAAGTTGCCCTTTAGGTCCCTGTTAAATCTTTCCCCTCTCACCTTAAACCTATGCCTTCTAGTTTTGAACTCCCCCGGCCTGGGGAAAGGACCTTGTCTATTTACCTTACCCATGCCCCTCATAATTTTATACACCACTATAATGTCACCCACTCAGCCTCTGATGCTCCAGGGAAAATAGTCCCAGCTTATTCAGCCTCTCCCCTCCAACACTGGCAACATTGTCGTAAATCTTTTCTGAACCTTTCAAGTTTCACAACATCCTTCCTATAGTGGCGAGACCAGAACTGAATGCAGTATTCCAAAAGTCACCTAATCAACGTCCAGTACAGCCACAACATACCTCCCAACTCCTATATTCAATGCGCTGATGAAGAAAGACAAGCATACCAAAAGCCTTCTTCACTATCCTATATACCTGTGGTTCCACTTTCAAGGAACTTTGAACCTGCACCCCAAGATCTCTTTGTTCAGCAATACTTCCCAGGACATTAAGTGCATAAATCCTGTCCTAATCTGCCTTTCCAAAATGCATGCTTCGTTACTTAACAACATGACAGGAAATGGTTGATCTGGCTTAGTTGAATTTAACAATTTAACTAAATCTTTTAAATCAAGTCACAGATATACATATATTTCATACAGAAATTTACTTTAAGATAATCAGAGCACGGTCAAATATACCATACTCGCTAGAATGAAGAAAATGGCAATAAAAGACCACATAAAATATGGTTTGGGAAAATTGATGGCTAAGGAAAAATAACACTTAGCAAGAACTACCCTCAAGCTATGGGATAAACTGGAGCTTTATATACAATGCATTGTCATTTTCTTTGCTATATCGTCAAGTGTTGATTTTGGTGATCCTTGCTGTACTGTTCCCTAACTACCAACTCAATTCCTCTCCCTGTAATTTGTCTGAGACTAAACAAAACTAAAGCGACATGAGGTTCCAATGACATCTGCGGCATCACTATGACCACCCATCTTCATCTCCATAACAATCCATCTTTAATCTTTGCTAGCCAGAGAACCATAATTAATGTTAGAACTATACAACTGTAATTTTCATTCCGATAATTGTAGTAAATTTTCATTGCACTCATTTATATTGTTTCAGTATAGTATTGTGGGGATATAATTCTGCAACAAAACCTAACCAGTGTCTTCTGCAAGTTAAATATCACCTCCTGGCATTTATATTCAATGCTGAATGTATAAAATCAGAATTCGATTTGCCTTTTTATTGTCTGTTCAATCTGGAGTCCCTACATTTTGAAGATTTATGAATCAATAGCAGCAGGCCTCTCTTCCATACTGTTAAAAGCTTTACAATTTATGGTACAATTCCTTTCACTGCAGACTTTCCAAAATGCAATACTAGACATTTTGTATTCGGCACTTACTTTCTTATTCTGCCTCCAGTATCCTGAAATGTCTTGTATTCTTCCTCAATTCGTCTTCCTTTACATTAAATGTCATCACCAAACTTTGATATAATTTCCTTACTTTTCATTTCAATCATTTGTATAGGAAGAAGCAAAAATGGTCAAGCACCAATCACGGCTCTCCACTACCAATCTGGAGAACCAAATCATTCATTTTACCTATACTCTGCTATTGCACACTGTGATTTGGTTTTCTTCCCTTTAATACCAGAAAAATAAAACTGGATGCTAGTACTAACTGGGCATTAATGATTCAACAACATTTTTTACATGCTGTCTCATTTCTTTATGATTCATTTCAATGGGAAAACAATAAACAATAAAGCATTGTTCTTATTTGCTATCTCCCACTTGTGCTGCTGGCTAAGAGGAAATCCACCTTCTAGCCCTCCAGTTGACTCAAACACGAGCACCTTTATAAGGATGATGAAGTTCCTGCATTCCAGGGCCTTAATGAGATACAATGCCTTCTCAAGAGCAGAAAAAGTGTATACCAATTGGGCATCTTGCTGTGGTTGATACCTGGACATCTCAAAGTTGCAACTTTTAAAATTAGAAATGGTCTTGGACGGTGCCCTTGTTTTAGGTGGAGGGGTTGTAGTTGAACGGGATCAGTCCTTTACTGGACTATCTTTCATGTCCTTCCCAGTACTTATACAATGTGAGCTGTCACAAATGTAGTCCAAGTGACCTGTGAATCTTGACACTTTCACCACTCATCTCTCCAACTGTGTAAATCTGAAGAACACCAAGTTCCCATCAGTCAATAACAACCTGTCCTTCACACTTCCGCGTTGATTGCCTTGCTTTGCCTGTGCCCTGAATACTTATTCACTAATTTCATTCCTAATTCTGGAATTTTGAAACGTATTAACATCAAAGCAAACAAACTGGCCTTTAACCTTATGGCTTATCATTTATGTTGCATATTATTGGGTTGATATAATCCTTAATAAGCTTTCCTTTAATTGATTAAATCAATGTACTGATCTAAAGATTATAACTTCTTGGTAGCAACGGATGAAAAGTAATGAATTAATCACCAAACCCATTCTACAATAAAAAGGCTTCACTAAGGGTTAGATCTGAAGAAATACTTGTACTTTATCATACTTGTATTGTCTTTACTTGTTTGGATTTGTTTTCTTTCGAATGTAAGCATTTGAGGATCACGTACCTTTTGCTGCAGAATTTGGACCTGATCTTTAGCAGTGGTTAGTTCCAATACTGCCTTCTGATTATCATGCTGATGCTTCAGGATATCCTGGAAATTCTGTCGTTCTTGCTGTTTTTTCAGATTCAGTTTGTGTTTTAGCTCCCCTTCAATTTGTCTGAGAAAATTACAAAAGTGCATTTCAGGCACATGCTAAAGTAGCATAACCCAGCAGGCCCCAACCTTTTCAGTATCAAGGCACACTTCAATGAGACAAACAATTCCATGGTACACTCTCTTTTGCAACTGAATTGATTGCTCATAAATGTCACACATACTCATATTTACTATGGTTATGGTCTTACTAGAGAAGTTTGCAACATAGTGCATACAACAAGCTGAAATAGGATCAAAAGCATCAACTTTCCAAATACACCTAAAAAAAACCCCACCTTCCATTGCAAGCACAGACACAGGGAGTTTGGACACTTAGAAGTATTTTCAGGCAGGAAATTTGGAGAACAATGGTAAAACCAAGTGAAACATCTTGGTATATGAATTCTCACTGAGGCTTTGTGAAGCTGAGCTCTATCAATGTCAAAATGAAGTGAATATGTAGACATTGGTTGCATCTTTACCACTCAAAAAGCAAGGTACTGGGATCATTGGTTCACATTGGAAGGAAGGTCAGGTAGAAGCTATTGTCAAAGCCTAGAGGCTCAATGACTGGAAGGATGACTTGGAAATTCTATTAATTTATGAACAATATATAATGCATGTAAGGCATGATCAGATTTTGACAATCTTAGAAAGAAGGATGGATATTTATGAACGAAGATAGAATAGAATTTAACAGAACATATCCAAGATTACAAAATTTTTAATAGAGATTTCTAATGCAATGCTGAAACAGCCAATAGCCTATATTTGTACAACAAAAACAGAAAGTGGAGAAACTCAACATTTCAAGTCCGGTGACCCTTCTTTAGAAGGGTTCTGAAGAAGGGTCACTGGACTCGAAACTTTCGCTCTTTTTCTCTCCTCAGATGCTGCCAGACCTGCTGAGCTTCTCCAGTAATTTCTGTTTTTGTTTCAGATTTCCAGCATCCGCATACATATACCGTATTTGTGCCACTCCGCAAGTAATTTTTTTTTTTGTCAAAGCAGTAAAGTTGTATTTCAGCCTAGAAGGCCTTCAAAGAAATTTTAAAGAGAAGAAACTGCCTTCAAATTCAGAACTGCTGGCTAGACGATCAACTACCCTTACAAAGGAATTCTCATCTGGTAATTCCAGTTTTGCACTTTTGCATTCCAATCAAAAAGCACATTGATAAACTGGTAACCAGTTTTTAACCTATAACTAACTTGTTGCTAATTTTATAATTTCTTTATCCTTTATGATTCTCTCTCACCTGGTTTGAGGGCATGCCTGTATTGTGAAGTATTCACCCCCTCACCCCAAGATTTTAGTATATGTGAAAAAAATGCTATAATTACTTGCGGAGTGGCACAAATACGGTATATGTATGCGGATGCTGGAAATCTGAAACAAAAACAGAAATTACTGGAGAAGCTCAGCAGGTCTGGCAGCATCTGAGGAGAGAAAAAGAGCGAAAGTTTCGAGTCCAGTGACCCTTCTTCAGAACCCTTCTAAAGAAGGGTCACCGGACTTGAAATGTTGAGTTTCTCCACTTTCTGTTTTTGTTGTACAAATATAGGCTATTGGCTGTTTCAGCATTGCATTAGAAATCTCTATTAAAAATTTTGTAATCTTGGATATGTTCTGTTAAATTCTATTCTATCTTCGTTCATAAATATCCATCCTTCTTTCTAAGATTGTCAAAATCTGATCATGCCTTACATGCATTATATATTGTTCATAAATTAATAGAATTTCCAAGTCATCCTTCCAGTCATTGAGCCTCTAGGCTTTGACAATAGCTTCTACCTGACCTTCCTTCCAATGTGAACCAATGATCCCAGTACCTTGCTTTTAACTTTAGAACAGTGTTGTTGTGGACCATACAAAGTCAGAGTCCATAAACAGAAAGGGTTAGAGAAAACACCAGCACTGTTCAAAGTAAATCAAAATCCGTTTACAGACAGATGACGAGAATAAGGAGAGAGATTTATTTTAGAACTCTTAATCTGTCCGTGATATAGACACAAGTTCATTCAATTGTACTGTGGTGGACAGTGGAGGCACGTCCATATTGGCTGGAGTGGGTTTGTTACAATATTAGCTAGATTCTTTTTATAAAAAGGTCGAAAACAAGGCTATGGAATTTGAGACTTCTACCTGTTACAGGTTTGGGGATGGAAAAATGCTGAAATCACCAAAAAGAGTGGTTATTCCTTATAATATAGCTAGTGTAAACCTCTTTAAAGCTCAATTGTAATGTCAAGTGAAATATTCTTACAGCTGAGCACACTGTCTATAAAAGAGGCTCAAATGTTCCTGGAGCCAAAACAGAAGTTGCTGGAAAAGCTCAGCAGGTCTGGCAGCATCTGTGAACAGAAATCAGAGTTAACGTTTCAGGTCCAGTGACCCATCCTCATAACTGATGGTAGCTAGGAAAATATTGGTTTATATACAGAAGATAGGGTGGGGGAGGAGGTCAAGAGTAAATGATAGGTGAAGATATTAATGGCCAGTCTATCCCCAGAAATGGAAACAGAGATGTCGAGGAAGGGAAGGAAGGAGTCAGAGATAGGCCAGGTGAAAGGGAGATTGTGGTGGGGGGTTATGGTGGGGAGGGAGTGGAAACTGGAGGCGAAATCGATGAACTTTTCCAATTCCGGATGAGGGAGGCAAGCAGCACCAATGATATAATCGATATATCGGAGAAAGAGTTGTAAGTGGGGCCTGGAATAGGACTGGAACAAGGGATGCTCCATGTACCCCATGAAGAGACAGGTATAACTGGGGCCCATGTGAGTAGCCATGGTCACCCCTCTGACCTGAAGAAAATGAGAGGAATGAAAAGAGAAATTGTTGAGGGTGAGGATGAACTTGGCCAAGTGGAGGAGGGTGGTGGGTTGGGGGACAGTTCAGGCCTTTGTTCCAGGAAGAAGCAGAGAGCCCTGAGACCAACGTGGTGGGGGATGGACATGCAAAGGAATTGCACATCCATAGTAAAGTGGAGGCAGCTAGTATATGCAAACTGGAAATTTCGAAATTGGCGTAAAGCATCAGATGAATCACAGATGTACATCGGCAGGAACTGGACCAGGGAGAAAAGACTGAGTCAAGACAGGAAGAGATGAGTTCTGAGGGACAGGAGCAGGATGAATCAACGGGTCTACCCGGACAGTCTTGTTTGTGGATTTTCAGAAGGAGATAGAAGCGAACTGTGGGGGGTGGGGAACTATCAGCTTGGAGGCAGTGCAGGGGAGATCACCAGATGAAATGAAGTCAGTGACCATGGTTGATACAGTGGCCAGATGTGCAATGGTGCGGTCATGGTCGAGGGGAAGATAAGAAGTATTTAAGAGCTGGCGCTGAGCCTCTGCAATGTAGAGGTCAGTACGCCTGACTACAACAGCACCATCCTTATTGTCAGGCTTAATAACTAAGTCAGGGCTGGATCTAAGTGCACGGATTTGGACCATAACAAGGCAAGTTTTTTTGTGAAGTCAGTGGATTTATAGTTTACACAATCAGGATGTTATTGTATACTTTGAACGAGACATAACTTCTTTAATCAAAATATTAAGAAGTGTTGTTGGATCAGGAAATAAGAGATTAAAGGGGAAAAAAAGGCATCAGCAGTTTGCTCATCCATCTTCTCAAACCTAGAAGCCCTACTCAAGGATGCAAGAGTAAGGAACGGTGCGCACATTAAATTTATAAATGAGATCAGCAATAGAGGACACCCATAAGCCTCCCTTAAGCTTGAGACTTTAAAAAGTTGTAGCTATAATTTTGAAGTTATGGGATTAAGAATAAAACATTTTCAACTTGCCCTTTGTACAGTGGAATTAAGAGAAACAGGTGAGAGGAGGGCTTTGTGACAGCAGCATCAGCTCAGGGAGCAACTTACAAAAGCAGACAGACAGTCAACAATACCTAGAGGAGCAGGCAAGAGAATGAAACAAAAACAGAAATTGCTGGAGAAACTCAGCAGGTCTGGCAGCATCTGTGGCTAGAAAGCAGAGTTAACATTTTGAGTCTGGTAACTCTCCATTAGTGAGAGAAAGATCCTAGGACAGGTAGTCAGCAACAGCTAAAGGAGCAGGCGAGTGAAGGACTCAGAGAAAGGCAGTCAGTGGTAGAGCTAAATAAATTGGAGCTGATTGGTGAGCAATTTTACCTCCTGCAGCTGTGTATAATGAAACATGTAACAAATCACAACGGCTGACTGCACTACAGTACAAGAAGACATTAATTAATACTCAAAATCTAACAGTGGTATCAAAAGTGTGACATCATAAAAATCAATGTTTAATTGGCTTTAGATTTGAGGAGCTGAGAAGCAGCAGTCTTAGATTGCAGTTAAACGTATGTTGAGTAATTATTAAGTAAAATAGGAAGGCACGATGGCATTGGAGTACTCTAGAATGTGGCTGGTAGCCAGTTTATTGGAAAAGATGGGAGTAATAGTAGCGGGGACTGTGGTGAAAATTGTAGAAATATGTGGAGGAAACTTTGAGAACGTCCTCGATAAGCTTTCTAAAAAGATTCCTAAAGGAGCAACTTAGATAGACTCAGACCGTAATAAGCTGGTTGACAGTGCACATCTGTGCGCTTTACATACTGGAATGGAAAATAAAGAGCTATGGGATAAATAAGCTGCAAAAGAAAAGTGATGTCTGCCAGGAAAGCGCTGCTGTACTACACAAAACAAAGTGTAATATAAGTGAAAACATGCTATTATTCCCAACATTGGAACTGGTTCATAGACAGAAAATATCGAAATAAGAGAAAAGTTAGAACATGAAACAAACATATTCCTATGTTTAGCTAAAATCGAATTGTTGAAGGCAAAACAACTCTGAACGGATGGCAGCTGTCACTGCTATCTAGAAAACCAAGGCTGGTAAACTCGAACTCTGTTGGAGTGTAGTTAAGACAGTACAGGTAAGAGTGCTTATCCCTCTGCTCCACCCCTGATTCAAAATTTCCTTGAAAAATAACATGAAAGCTATGGAAAAAGTGTGAATTTTATTCCTAAGTTTTTATTTTAGAACAACTCTCTGTGCTGTGAGAAGCTCCATTTGTTCCTGTAAGAGACCAATCAGCTGAAATTTGCCAGATACTCATTTTGATCTCAGATTTGGAATTTTTTAGGGAAAAGGGTAAACAAAGAGATATGAGAAACATCTTATGTGTATACTTGGATTATTTTTTATGTTGGTCTTAGTTTACAGAAATAATGACAAATGTCTTTGAAATAAGTGAAATGGTAGCACAAAGTCAAAGAAAAAACAAAAAAATTGAAAAAGACTTTGAAATTATAGTTCTCAGCAATTTCTTAAAACAAGTACATAAAATTTTGACATGGTGTGACTTGGTGACTTTCTCAGATTACAGAGAGTTAACGCTTTGTGCTGACAGCTCTCCTTTTAGTTTCATGATGCACCTTCCACATTGCTAGGTGTGTGACATTACTAAATTTACAGACTCAAATTTGGATTAGAAGTTTGGAATGGGAGCACCCTAAACTAATTATGATTGCTTGTTTCTCTGATATAGAAGTACTATTTAAAATCACCAAATCTGCACATAATTCTTTCTGAAATTGAGATTAATAAATAACTTGATCAAAGTTCCTATATCAAGCACTCAATGGGAAACTTACATTAAGAGTAAGTGATCAAATTTGTGAGTGATCTTTTGATCGCGTCAGGAGCCGTTAAAGAAAAAATAGGGCTTTTCTATATATCCTTGAACTGATGGAAGCAGTTGTTTTTAAAGAAAGCCTGGGAAAAACTTAGGTAGGAAAGCAGGAGGTTCAGTATTTGGGCAATGTAAATTCATAGGATAAATAGGAATATCCCTATAGCTACGTAGGAAATGCCGAGGCCAGTGGAAGTGCAAGGAGCAAGACAAATTAAGGAACTGTTGAACCCTGTAAAACATTGGTGGAGGACAGTGTTAAAATCAACAAACTCACACAGGAATAAACAAAAGTGGGGAGCTGAATGTGTTGAATCAATAGTATTTAGTTAAGGGTTAAATCTTCATTCACATTGTCAGTAATAACAGAAGCAAACAGGGAATAAAGACCACACTGGTGTGCTGGCTAATGTTTGGAGAAAGACATCTCCCTTTGATGTCTGAATCCATAGGGCACTCAGTAATGATAACAAGTTGAAAATACACATAGGTTCTTGGTAGCAATGAGTTTTTAAAAAGAGTTTCAACATTAAAGGGAGGCTATCAGTTGAATCTGGAATATTTTTGAGATATGAAATGTCTAAAGGAATAGAAAGTTATATTTGGAAACCTGAGATAACTAACTGTGAAAAAAATGAACATGCAAGAAATGCCAGGGCCTGAAATCAAATAGGAATGCCTGATTTCTATTTTTAAAAAGAATGTAAAAATCTTTTTATTGGACAGTAGATGTCCTCTAAGACTCATGCATGGGATAGAATGGTAATAATGAAAAGAAAAGCTGGGAACAGTAAATGTGTCTTGTTTTGAGAACACGGAATAATGTATCAGGATGTGATTTGATTGAATAAATCAATAAGAATTTATAAAGCTTGTAGTGAAAAGAATGAATTACAATAATTAAAATGTGGAAACTATAAAAACAATATCCACAAGCTGGAAATGGTTTAAGGGAAAGAGAGTTATAGGATCTTTTAAATTTGATTTGATAGTTAAGGCATTTGTGCCTAAGTGCTGGTAATTAAGAATTAGCAACAGTTTCTGTAAGGAGATGCTACTAATGAGGTTAACTGTAGGTGGACTCATAGATATCTGCAGTTCAAAAGGAAGCCATTTGGCATATCATGTCTTCCCAGCTCTGACTATGCAAATCCTAATTTCCTGTTTGTCTACCTGGATTCCAGCATCTGCAGTCTTTTTGTCTCTAACTCTTTTAGGCTCTTACCTGTTAGAACTATGTACTGTGCTAACCAATTAACTAAACATGTGCTTTCCTATCCACCCTATCTACGCCCCTTATAATCTTCCATACCTCAATCAGGTAGCCTCTTAACCTTCAGTGCTCCAAAGAGCAGGCCCGTTATACTTAAGCTTTCTTCATAGTTTAGACCTTCCAGCACAGGCAATATCCTGGCAAAACTCCCCTGCACCTTCACTAATGCAAGCACATCTTTCCCTAAAGAAGTGACCAGAACTGCACTCAGTACTTCAATTGTGGACTAACCAGCATTTTATACAGTTCCACACAACCTCCCTCGATTGTATTCTGTACCTTGGCTAAGTATCCCTTACACCTTCTTCACCACCTTATCTACCTGCCATCTATCTTCAGGGATCTGTGGATAAGACCAACGTCCCTCTGATTTCAGTACTTTCCAGGGTTCATCAGTCATAGTGTAATAGAGGTCTAAAGTACAGAAAAAAGCCATTCAGTCCATCAAGTCTGTGTTATCAATAACAAACACCTGAATATTTTGACCCATTTTTCAGCATTTGTTCCAGAGCCTTGTGTGCCTTGGCATCACAAGTGAGTATAATCCTTTATCTTGAATACATGACTCCACACTTATCTGGGTTGAATTGTATTTGTCACTGCTCTGTCCATCTGAACAACACATTGATGTCAGTGCATCTATTTCTGTACCACCTATGAACTTCTTGATCATACTTCCTACGTTTCAGTCAAAATTCTTAATGTACATCACAACCAGCCTCTTCAGGGTTGAGAAGACCAACGGCAGAAACTCGCAACCCTGAGCATACGTCATCCTTGAATTGGGGAACAGCAGATACCGTTGATGACCCATTGTTGTTTTATTCTCAGACCAAAATTCAATTGGTTTAAACAAAGGTCACATTATAGAATTAGCTTAGAGAACTGAATAGGATATGAAGCTTTACTTAAATAATAAGGAAAGGAAACAATTGCCATTTAATAATAAATTAAGTCATTATAGTATTAAAATCAGCAAACAGAGAAAATATTTATAAAAGAACAAAAACTCACTTGTACTTGTTAATCTCTTCCTTGGTAGTTTCAAGGTGCTTTTTAAGTGTTTCGAGTTCAGTATGTAATTTGTGTTGCCTTTGCTCTTGATGGACTACCTCAGCTATCTGATCATTGAGCTGCTTCTCAGTAGCTTGTAAGTTTGACTCCATCAAAATCAGCTTTTGTTCTCGACTGGCAAGCTCTTGAGCTACAGTTAGACAAAGAAATCATTTATCTTGCATTGTCCTATTAATACCGTAAAATAGTATTCCAAGATTTTAATACTGGATGCAAATACACAAGCTGAAACCAATTTTATGTTTATTTTCGTCACTTGTTTTCTCCCCTTCTTATCTGAAAGCATTAATTCTCTGGTAGGCACAGTTCCCATAGGTATTCTGTTCTATGCTAGTCATATAAATGTGGAAGACTTGATCACTGTCAGCTACCCCACTGTTAAGGAAAACACCACTGAGCCAAATCCTGTTCCCTTTACATGCGTTCCCAAAAAGCATAATGAAACAGCAATCAGAAATAGGATTTCTTGTTGATTCTCCTCGGGAGTAGATCAACTGCAATGTACAAACTCAGAACAATTAATGCAGACTTTCTTTATCATTGTGTGTTGATTATTCATATAATTCAACCAATTTTATAAACTGTTATTCATTGTAATGTCTCTAGTCAAGAATGCTTAGGACTATATCATTTTAAGATGGCAGAATTTTCTAGATTATGGAATGATATTGAAATGTCACAGTTGTCACACAATTATCACATTTCTGTGTGAATCAAAAAACAATGCTGACATAAATATCTACCTGAAATATGAAACTGTCATATAACAGTATAAAGCAGTAATAAAAAATTGTTTTATCAAATACCGTATGTCCCTCATTCTATTCCCAAAGTACTGAACTAAAGTGATGCTGATGATGCTGAAGAAATTGCTTGGGTCTGCTCAAAAGATTTCTAGACAACTTGTATTTCTGAACAATAGATTTCTGGACTGGAGAGGTCATAGTATATTATTGTTCTTGAGATAATTTGAATTAGTACGGACACTGGAAAATTAGGTCAGTTAGATTTTAGGATGCAGAGTAACAGAATGGTAGCATGGTTGAAAGAAAAATATATGTTTAGTGGAGGGCCAAGAATTAATGACTCAATGATGAAATTGAATATATTGTACCAAAATTTACTTATGAAACAAAAATATATGGGAAAGCAAGTTGTGAGGGGAAGAAAAGGGTTGAATTTTTATTTCATTGAATAGGCAAAATAGGAGGCAGGAAAGGCTGTATTTCAGGGTTTTGACTGGCATTTTAACTTTCTGATGTGATGGCACTGAACATGGATTTTGGAAAAGGTGCAGGAGTCATATAACAGTAGCCCACCAAAACATGTCAGTGCTATCAGTTCATCTTGCAAATGAGTTAATTAATAAACATTAAAGGAAAGAAAATGATTTTGTTTTTTTGGCAAAGTGACCATGAAGTGTTGCAATCATCTGAGTAGTGGGGTATCTTTAAAGGAGATGAACCCATTTAATATTATTGTATAAAAGTATGAAGGTTCAGGCAGCTGCTTATGCAACAGAACGTAGTGGCTATTGAGTGTAGAAAATCCATACAGCGTTAGCTTTAGAGACATTCAATCTGTTGAGCAGGGAGTGACCCAATAGGGATTAGTTGACCGTGGGAAAGGGGGTCTGGTAGCCATGATCATTCTTCTAAAGGTGAATTGGGCTATCTGTGCTCATGAGATACTTGGAGTTGCAAAAGAGCAGTCAGTCACACAATCAATACAGGCCATTAATCCGAAAGCTAGTAGTTTCAGAATAAGGGGATGTCCACCTATGAGACAGGTGAGGAAAAAATTTCTTCTCTTAATGAGTCATCAATCTTTAGAATTTTTGAACAAAGTGAATTGTGGAAGGTAAGTCATTGAATATATTCTAATTTGAGAAAGACTGTAAACAAGTAAGAGCAGGTGGGAAAGTGGAGTTCAGACCTAGATCAGTTATGATCTAATTGAATGACCAAGTAGACTTGAGGAGTCTACTCATAACATGCATTGGCAGACTTTTGTCATGTGAAACATTGGTTTGCACTGTGGTGGCCAGCTCGGTGTTAAGGATTGCTTGCTGTGGCTCAAAAGTCCAATTCTAGCCTTGCAGTTTCTGCTGCATCAAAGAAGACAATAGGTTAGGATGATGCAGGATTCGCTGACTTCTGTTTTCTCTGATACCTCTTCTCTGTCAGTTGAGGCTTCCTATTTGCTGCTCTCTTCCAATGACCCCCAAACAGTCATCTGCAAGAGGTCACAGTAATTGGCAAATGTCTCCCAATTGTTGTGTCAATATTTACCACCTTCATATCTCATTTGCAGGTGTCCTTTTAGTAAAGGTACAGACTTCCAGGAAGTTGTGACCCAAAGTTCATATTATTGATGGTCTTTTGGTATACGCCTGTCATCAATTGAATAAATGTGGTCAAGCCAGGATAACTGCCATTGGATGAGGAAGTGACATAGATAAGCAAGAAATTCTGAAGATCATCTGAGAGAGTGAAGGTGCAAATTATTAAGCCCTTTCTTTTGACTGGCACACGTGGTCCAAGTCTAACTACAGTGGAAGAATGCACTGAAGAAATGGGCTTGTTAGACTCTCAGTTTGGTGACCTTGGCCATGTTTCAAATTCCCATATTGAACTTGGGCATAACATCTGCAGCTTTTGCAATATATGTGATTTTAGCATCATGAGATGTAGGCATCAGTGGCTAGGCCAGCACTTATTACCTACCCCTAGTTTCCAGAGAAATGCTAAGAGTCAACCACATTGCTTTGGATCTGAAGTCACAGGTAGGTCAAACCAGGTAAGAAAGGCAGATTTCTATCTCTGAAGGGCATTTATAAACCAGGTGGAGTTTTACAACAATTAGTAGTAGTTACACAGTTGTCATTAGGCCATTCTTTCTCCCAGATTTTTGTATCAGCCAGGATTTTCACCCTGACAAGGCCAACATGGCATGGGCAAATATTTTTCTCAAGATACTTAGCAGAGTGACACAATTTTAGTTATTGCATTCATTGTGGTCACCCTTGTCATGTACAAGATCACAATTTTCACATCATACATAGCCTTGGAGGCTGCCTCCTCCCTCCAGCAGGGACAAGTTCATGAAATTGCTGCTAAAATGCTAGGTACTATCCTTGAAGTCTTCAGGCAGTATAACATCAGTACCTAGAGTACTGTCCATGGTAAATGACTAAATAGCTTTGCTAAGATCCTCTACTGTGGGTTTAACGTTCAGCTCTGTCACAACGATCAAGTTTTCTATGATATCTAGAACTTCCTTGGTGATGGTATTCTCTCAAGTAAGAAGGGGATATTGCAATAACTGACACATAGAATAAAGCAATAGATGGCGCTATATTTCTGGGACATAGAAAAGCTAACATCATCTTACCCAAATGAATTAACATTAAAGGACAACAATCAAGTTGGTTCATTACATTTGTGTTAACTGCTGAAAAAAATGTCTAGAATAAACGTTTGCCGATGTGCAATATATATATATAATCTGAAAAGGACAGTTTCTTCATTTGCTACAAATTTCAAATGATCTCACAGATTCAAGACAAATTTCTTGCCAAAAAAAGACAATAACAATGCAGTTCACTGTAAACGTTAACTAGCTAAAATGAAGACCACGGAATCACAGAGTTGCTACAGGGCAAGAGGAGGGCATTCGGCCCATCACTTGTGTATCAACTCTTTCAGCAATTGAAGTAGCACCAATCTCCTGCCTTTTCTCCTCAACCCTGCATATTATTTCTGTGTATATAATAATGTATTGGTCTCCTGAATGCCTCAAGTTAACCTGCCTCCACCACACTTCAAGGCAGTGTGCTCTATAGCTTAGCTACTTGCTTTGTGAAGAAGTTTGCTCTCTGGTTCTTGATTCAGCTATGGGTGGGAACAGTTTCTTTCTAGTTACTCTGTCCAAAAAAAAAATTAACTATTACTTTCTTTTTCCTATCCCTCAGCTAATTTTGTACCCTTGTTGCAACTGTCTGTTGTCTTCCATGGCCTGTATCTTTCCTCAAAAGTCTGTTGCATGTTTGCATGGTACTGTATCCAACATCATTTGGAAGTCCATGGATGACATCAACAGCCTTGACTTTGTCAACTCCTCACTGCTAACTCTTTAAAAAACTCGAGCAAATTAATTAGATCTGATTTTCCTTTAACAAGTCCATACTGACTGTTCCGAATTAAGCCACATTTTTCCACACGATTATTAATTCTTACCCAAATAATTGTTTCTAGGAGTTTCCCCACCAACATTAAACTGACTACTCTAATTGCTGGACCTATCTTTACCATCTTTGAATAAGGGTGCAATATTTTAAATTCTGCAATCCTCCAGCACCATCCCCAAATCCAGGGAAGATTAAAAGAGTATTGCTATTGTCTCTGCAATTTCCACTCTCCCTTCCTTCAACATTCTTGGATGCATCTCATCTGGTTCCAATACCTTGTCAATTTTAAATACCAACAGCTTATCTAATACCTCATTATCAATTTTAAACTTTTCAAGTGACCAAGATTCCTCCCTTGTCACCATAACCTTAACAAGAAGGGTGAGATTGTATAGTAAAAATACTGAACTGCAAATCAATAAATATGAAATGGAATGAAAACCAAACCAATTATCTTCTGAACACTTGCACTGTTTTGTATGGAAGAAACATAGAGTTAATAATTATACAGCACCATGATTAATATGAATCAACAGTCACAGAAATGTTTAAACTTATGGCTTCCACTATTACATAGAAGACTTGGGTTTCTAAATCAATAGTTTTTAGTGGTGTGCCATAAGAACTGTTCAAGTGTACTTTGCAATTTTGTACAAAGTTAACGAAAATCATCGGAAAACAAGTATAGCTTTCCCTAAAACAATATTTTATGGTTAAACCACTGGCATAATCACAGTAAATGAAAGTAAATGTGATGTTTATGAACAATCAATTCAGCTGAAAAATATGGGTGTGCCATGAAATTGTTTGTCTCACTGAAGTGTGCCATGTTACTGAAAAGGTTGGGAACAACAGTGCTAAATACTTAACTGAGTGCAAACATTTGTTGCTCGTTTTTGTTAAAGTTTTTACAACTATTTCTGAAAACAGTTTGATTGTTT